TTTTCCTTTCTCCTTCTCCTCCCTTCCCTTTTCTTCTTCCTTTTCTCCTTTCTCTCTCCTTTCCTTTCTTCTTCCCTCCATCTATACTTCCTTTCTCCTTCCTTCTCTTCTCCTTCCTCTTCTTCCTTTTTTCCTTTCTCTTTCCCTTCCTTTTTTCTTCCCTCCATCTATACTTCCTCTCTCCTTCCTTCTTTCCTTTCTCCTTCTCTCCTCCCTTCCCTTTTCTTCTTCCTTTTCTCCTTTCTCTCTCCTTTCCTTTCTTCTTCCCTCCATCTATGCTTCCTCTCCTTCCTTCTCTCCTCCCTCCTCTTCTATCTTTTTTCCTTTCTCTTTCCCTTCCTTTTTTCTTCCCTCCATCTATACTTTCTCTCTCCTTCCTTCTTTCCTTTCTCCTTCTCTCCTCCCTTCCCTTTTCTTCTTCCTTTTCTCCTTTCTCTCTCCTTTCCTTTCTTCTTCCCTCCATCTATACTTCCTTTCTCCTTCCTTTCCTCCCTCCTCTTTTCTTCTTCCTTTTTTCCTTTCTCTTTCCCTTCCTTTTTTCTTCCCTCCATCTATACTTCCTCTCTCCTTCCTTCTTTCCTTTCTCCTTCTCTCCTCCCTTCCCTTTTCTTCTTCCTTTTCTCCTTTCTCTCTCCTTTCCTTTCTTCTTCCCTCCATCTATACTTCCTTTCTCCTTCCTTTCCTCCCTCCTCTTTTCTTCTTCCTTTTTTCCTTTCTCTTTCCCTTCCTTTTTTCTTCCCTCCATCTATACTTCCTCTCTCCTTCCTTCTTTCCTTTCTCCTTCTCTCTTCCCTTCCCCTCTCTTCTTCCTTTTCTCCTTTCTCCTTTCCTTTCTTCTTCCCTCCATCTATACTTCCTCTCTCCCTCCCCTTCTCGTCTTCCTTCTCTCCTTTCTCCTTCTCCCTCCGCACCCCTTCTTCCTTTTCTCCTTTCTCCCTGCCTCCCGTTCTTCTGTACTTTCCTTCCTCCCTTCTTCCCTCCCCCTTCTTTTCTTCCTCTTCCTCTCCTTCCCTCTCCCCTTTTCTTCTTCCTTCTGTCCGTCCCTCCCTCCCTCAGCTTCTGCTCTGCCTTCTCTCCTTCCTCCCCTCCCTCGTGTGAAACCTACAAAATAAAACTTGAGGGCTGCGTAATGTGTCAGCTGCACTTTGGGTTGGAATTGTTTCCCAATCTGGAATTCAGCAAAGCCGGTGGATACTTTTGACAAAAGTTTGACGTTGAGCGTTTTTCCTCCTTGCAGACGGTGCTGAGTGGTGAGGTTTACATCTGCCTGTCCTTCCTCATTAACATGGTCAACGTGAGTCTGGAACTGACCGGCCCCCAGCCCAAGCAAGGCTCCCTGGCCAGGTATGGTTACTCCCTCGCGTGGGTCTGAACACAGCTTTCCTTTTGGGGGGAGAAACCAATGGGGAGAGAGGCAGCATTGCAGTAAAGGGACTCTGGCTCTGGTCATTGGAAGTAAGGCAGATCTGAATTTTGCCAAAATGAAATAAAATAAACGTAGGAAATACATTGGACAGCACTGTGAGGATTAGGGGAGGGGGAAACTGTCCCTTCAGATAGTCAAGGTAATAATTATTAAAATTATTAAAAGATGATAAGATTAATCAAGATTAATCTGGGAAAATCTCTCCTCTCTTTTTCTCCTAACTTTCTCTCCTCTCCTTTCTTTCTCTTCCTTCATCTGTCTCTCTCTTCTCTCTTTCTCTCCGAACTCTTTCTCTCTCTCTCCTCTCCTTTCTTTCTCTTCCTTCATCCGTCTCTCTCTTCTCTCTCTCTGTCTCTCCTCTTCTTTCCCTTTCTCGACTCTCTCTCCTCCCCCTCTCTCTTTCTGTCTCTCCATCCTTTCTCTTCTTCTCCCCCTTTCTCCCTCCCTCTTAATTCTCTCTTTCTCTCTCCTCTCTCTCTCCCTTTCTCTCCTCCCTCTCTGTCTGTCTGCCTCTCTCTCTTTTTCTCTCCCTCTCTTCTCTCTCTCTTTCTTTCTCTCTACCCTTTCTCTTTCTCTCTCTTCTCTCTCCTTCCTCTCTCTCCCTTTTCTTTACTCTCTCTCTCCTCTCTCTCCCTTTCTCTCCTCCCTCTCTTTCTGTCTGTCTGCCTCTCTCTCTTCTTCTCTCCCTCTCTTCTCTCTCTCTTTCTGTCTCTCTGCCCTTTCTCTTCTTCTCTCCCTTTCTCCCTCCCTCTCTTAACTATTTCTCTCCTCTCTCCTTCCTCTCTCTCCCTTTTCTTTACTCTCTCTCCTCTCTTTCCCTTTCTCTCCTCCCTCTCTTTCTGTCTGTCTGCCTCTCTCTTCTTCTCTCCCTCTCTCTCTTTCTGTCTCTCCACCCTTTCTCTTCTTCTCTCCCTTTCTCCCTCCCCCTCCCTCCAAATTTGTTTAGGTTCGACTTTAAAAAATCAAAGCTGCTATTTGAGAGCTGCTCCAATCAAACCCGAACCATCAACCTGGTCTCCCACTCCATGATGGCGTTCGACACGCGGTACGGCGGGCAGGCGGCCTCCGCGGAAACGCCCAATGTCTTCAACTGCATTTTCCAGCCTTCGAAAAGCAACCATTCTCAAGGAGCCATCCAGATCGAACTGCATTACAGGTCGAGGAAGCCTCCGGTCCCTTTTTCCCAGAAGGCCCCGGGGGAGCCCAGGGGCCTAGAGTCGGAAGGGGTCCTCTGTGCTTTGGAGTGGAACACCTTGCTTAATGCAGGACTCCAAGCGAAAGCACCGCCGATTCCCAGCCTCTTCCGAACAATTAATTAAACATTAGAACAATTAACCCGTGGGATGGCTTGCCACTAGAAGTTGTGGGTGCTCCATCACTGGAGGTTTTTAAGAAGAGGTTGGACAGTCACCTGTCTGAAATGGTCTAGGGCCTCCTGCTTGAGCAGGGGGTTGAACTAGAAGACCTCCAAGGTCTCTTCCAGCTCTATTCTGATTGACTGAAATGGTCTAGGGTCTCCTGCTTGAGCATGAGGTTGGACTAGAAGACCTCCGAGATCCCTTCCGACTCTGTTTCTACAACCTAGAAACAGTATATCATAGAAATCTATTTAAATATAATTAACATTTGACATTTCAGCTGGAAAAGTTTCAGTGTGGCTTATAGTTCAGTGAAAATTACTAACCATCTTTAATGAAGGGGAAGAGAGGGAGGGAGAAAGAGGAGAAAGACAGGAGGAGGAACAGGTAGGAAGGAAGGAGGAAAGAAAAGGAGAAGAGAAGAAAGGGAAGAAGGATGGAGAAAGGAAGGAAGGAGAAAAAGGGAAAGGGAAAGGAAGGAGAGAGGAAAGAAAAGGGAAGGAAGGAGAAGGGAGGGAAAGGAGGAAGAGAGGGAAGGTGAGAAGGAAAGAAAGAGAAAGGATAAGGAAAGAAAAGGAGGGGAAGGAAGAGGAGGAGGAAGGAAAAGAAAGGAAAGGAAGAAGGAAAAAAGGAGAGAAGGAAGGAAGGATGGAGAAAGAGGGGAGGGACAGGAGGAGGAAAAGGAAGGAAGAGGAAGGAAAGAAAAAGAGGAGGAAGAGAAGAAGGAAGGAAAATAGGAAGGAAGGAGGGAGAAAGGGGAGGGGCAGAAGGTGGAGAAAGAAGGAATGAAGGAAAAGCAAAAAAAGGAAGGAAGAAAGAAAAAAGGGAGAAGAAAAAAAAGAAGGGAAAGAAGGAGAGAGGGAAGGACGGAAGGAGACTTGCTTGTTACCCTTCCTCTTCCTTTCCTCCCTTCCAGGTCGACCAAAGACTCCTCCTCCTTCACGGTCGTCCTAAACAACCTCCGTGTCTTCCTGATCTTTGATTGGCTGGTGCTGGTCCACGACTTCCTTCAAACCCCCAGCGACCCCAGAAAGCCCGCCCACCCCTCTCCTGCCTCCCAGCGGAGCCTGGGGGGCGAAACAGCAGTTGTTCCCAAAACCATCAAATGCGGGATCGTCACCAAGCGTTCTTCGCTCCAGATCTCCACCGAGAAACAGCTGGAGGTCAAGGTCAACGTGACCGGTAAGCGTTAGGGTTTCCTATCGGAAAGCTTAAATCGTGGTTTAATTGTGGTTTATTGAACGAAACAGCCTCAGCGAAGATGCCGAAGGCCAAACCTGGACCAAGTCATCCTCTGGATTTGGCTTTTTTTGTGTAAACTCAAGCTAATTATTTGCAAAGCAGCCTATTGGAGTCGGCTATTACCGAAAAATAAGAATGGAAATAATTGATTAAATGGATTTGCCAGCTGAGTCCCAACCTCTTCAGAAATACGAACTGTTGTCTCCTACGACAGCCACTCCCCTTTCTTTCTATTTATTCCCCAGCCAGGGAGGGGCCATTCAGCGCCCACGTGTGCTTTGCTTCCCGAGTCGACTCCTTGTCCTCCCTTGTCCTCCTCTCCTAACTGCTCTGCGCATACGCGCATCTGGAGCAGGCCCCAGCTGCTCCTCCTCCTCCTCACTCATTTCCGCCTCCGAAGGCAGCTGGGAAATGTCGGACGGCCCCTGGCTCTATCTCTGCGTCCGATGCAGAGCGTACATCAGAGCCTTCCCCAGGCTCCAGCGCCGGCCCGTCTTCCTCCCCTACCTCCTCATCTCCCGAGTCTGCCGCCAGCTCCGCTCAGGAAGCCAAGGATTCCCTACATTAAATAAATTCCTTTTGTTAAATAAATTAAAGGCAAATCTATAGGGAGGCTTCCTCCCAGTTCATCCACCCTTCGATTCCCTTCCTCCAGATACAGAATTCGTGGTGGTTGAAGACACAACCTGCTCGGACACTAACGCAGTCATTCTGAAGGGCACGACCGTCCTCACCTACAAGCCCAAGGTGGTCGACCATCCTTTCTCCGGCAGCCTCTCGGGCATCGAGGTGAGAACGCTGGGTTGCCCCCCCCTCCCGCCCAGGGTGGGGGTGGGGCAGTTTCCATACCCGTAGCATCTTCGTTACGACCGATTGCATCCTGAGTCCCTGTCGGAGGCTCGGCGTTTTTAAGGACAGGAAGTCCTCAGCTTACGACCACAATTGAGCCCCAGATGTGGGTTGCTAAGCGGAATGGTGCGGTGGCCTGCAGGTGGAGCTCTTGCCTCACCATCAGGAGGTTTGTGAGTTCGATCCTAGGTACAGGCAGATATTTCTCTCGGTCTCTCTGGGCACGATGAGAATGTATCTGCCGAACAAAACTCCTCATTGGCGACAGGGAAGGGCATCTGGCCAGGAAACACTCTTTGCCCAGACTCCAACCCCGCAAGGGATTATGGGGGGGTCATTAAAAGAAGATGAATCTTCAATTAACCTGAGTGGGGGTGATGGCCTAAGAGGTGGAGCTGTCATCTCACCATCAGGAGGTTTTTGAGTTCGATCCTAGGTAGAGGCAGATATTTCTCTCCCTCTCTCTCTCTGGGCACAATGAGAATATTTCTTCCGAACAAAACTCTGTACTGGCGACACGATGGGCGTCCGGCCAGTAAAACACTCAACTCCATTCAGTTGCTCAGACTCCAACCCCGCAAGGGATTATTGGGGAGGGGGAAATGATTTAGGTTGCCAAGGGAGACGTTTGTTCAATTGTCCCCTTTTAAAAACCTTCCTCGCCAACAGCTGTTAAATGAATCGCGGCGTTCTGCTCCCTCAGGTTTTCTCCTGCCGGCTGGGCAACGAGCAGGAAACAGCCCTCTCCATCCTCGATCCAGCCCTGATCCAGGTGGAACTCGTGGGGAATTCTTCCTACCCGAACGGATCGGGTCTGTTGGACGCTTTCAACGGCGGAGACTTCCCTCCCCTTCTAGAGGTATTGACACTGGAGGTTTTAAAGGAGAGGTTGGAGAGCCATTTGTCTGAAATGGTCTTGGATCTCCTACTTGAGCAGGGGGTTGGACTAGAAGACCTCCAAGGGCTCTTCCAGCTCCATTCTGATTGATTGATTGATATGATCTATTGTCTCCTGCTTGAGCAGGAGGTTGGACTAGAAGACCTCCAAGGTCCCTTCCAGCTCCATTCTGATTGATTGATTGATTGATTGATTGATTGATTGATTGTAATGGCCTATGGTTTCCTGCTTGAGCAGGGGGCTGGATTAGAGGACCTTGAAGGTCCCTTCCAGCTCTGTTCTGATTGATTGATTGATTGATTGATTGATATGATCTAGGGTCTCCTGCTTGAGCAAGGGGCTGGACTAGAAGATCTCCAAGGTCCCTTCCAGCTCTATTCTAATGGATTGATTGGAATAGATCTTATCTCCAAGCGCCAGACTTTCCCCACCCGCGAGGAATATCCCTTTTCACATCCAATTTGGGGAAACCTAGCAGCCTCTCCAAAGAGAATCTGCCTTCGCCGTCCTCTCGATGTTCAGATGGGTCTTTTTTTTCTCTCTCCCCCGGCTGCTGTTTCCCCCCCCTTCCGCCCGCCTCCCAGATCCAGTTGCAAACGCTCGACATCCGCCTCTCTTACAACGACGTCCAGCTCTTTCTGGCCATCGCCAAGTCCATCTCCAAGCAGACCAGCGGGGTGCTGCCCAGCCCCCCCGCCACGGACTCTCCGGCCCCTTCTGGCCCAAGTGAGATTTCGGGAACAAGCGCCGAACGGATGGAGGGAGCGAAGAGGCTGCTGGATCCCGTCCTCGGTAGGAACGTCAGTTTCGAATTGAGGCTCACTCCTCTGCCTCCGCACACTCCCCCCCCCCCCTCACTCCCCCCCCCCCCCCCCGGTGCTGCTCTGTCGGAGCCCAGATATCGGGAAATGGGCGTTGGGGGTTGGCATGGGTTCTAAATACGGGTGGTCACTCGACGTACGATGGCAGGTGAGGCCAAAATTGACGTGGAAGGTCGTATAACGGGACAAAACCCACTTAACAAATCCTCCCTTAACCACGGAAATTTCAGGCTCCGTTGTTTTCGTAAATCGACAACAAAAAAATGACAAGAGTTGTCCCTTAAAAAGAAAAAGAAAAAGAAAACTACCTCCAAAGCAAAATTGCACTAAATGGAATAAAACCCTTCAATTTGTGATCCTTGTTTCCTTCCAGAAGTGCAGCTGGCCCGCCTGCAAGAACTGGGCTTCAGCCTGGACGACTGTCGGAAGGCGCTGCTGGATTGCCAAGGTGTGTTATTTGTAGGGAGTTATTGTAAAAGTTTTTAGGTGTAATGTACACTGAAGTTGGCATTTAATTTCACTGTGCGAGGTGCAATGACAATAAACTAAACTTAACAAAGATAAGTAAGATATAAACCAGTGATGGGCAACCTTTTTGGCGTGGTGTGTC